ATTGTTGGAAATTTTAAGGATATTATAGGGAGGATGCCCCAGTGTCCCTTGAATAAAATGCAGGAGTTGCATTTGAGGTACAACAATATTACCGGAATCATACCGGACCAGACAGCACACTTGACCAGCTTAGTCGTTCTTGACATCTCTCGGAACAACCTAAGTGGAGGAATACCACAATGGGTGGGGTTGCTCTCTAGTTTAAGCAGCCTTGATCTCTCTGACAATAATCTCAGTGGACCTGTGCCATCTGAGATCGGTATGCTCTGTAACTTGACCATGATGGATCTCAACAGGAACAATTTGATTGGTGACTTCACTGAAGAACATTTTACAAGTCTAACGAGGCTAAAGGTGCTGCGTTTAGGTTGGAATTCTTTGAGACTTACATTTGGCCCCGATTGGATGCCACCCTTCAGTTTAGAAGAAACATATCTTCGCTCTTGCCAACTGGGCCCTTCATTCCCTGCATGGCTTCAGTTCCAGATGGACATTCGCTATATGGATATATCAAGCACAGGTATAGTTGGTAGGCTTCCTGACTGGTTCAGCACTAAATTTGCAAAGGTCACATATCTGGACATCTCCAACAATGAAATCAGTGGCAGGTTGCCAAGAAACATGGAATTCATGTCACTGCGATATTTCTATATCAGTTCAAATAAACTAACTGGTGAAATCCCCAACTTACCAAGCAATATTACCTTCTTCGAGATGTCTGAAAACTCTTTATCTGGAAATTTGCCATCAAACATTGGGAGGCTAGATTTAGAATCATTAGCGCTGCGCTCCAATCAAATAACTGGTCGTATTCCAAAATCTCTCTGCAAAGCGGAAGCCTTGAACTCCTTGGACTTAAGCAACAATCTTTTGGAGGGACAACTTCCTCAGTGTTTTGGGGTGATGGACATTGGCTTTCTCATGTTGAGTAACAACAGATTCTCTGGCAATTTCCCATCATTTCTAAAAAGATTGAGACAATTGAAGTCTCTAGATCTATCACATAATAGATTTTCCGGAAGGTTGCCATTGTGGATTGGAGAGTTGGCTGAACTAAGATTTCTGGGGCTAAACCATAATACGTTTTCTGGAGAAATCCCACCTACCATCTCAAATCTTAGTCACCTTCACCATCTGAACCTAGCAGGCAATGGCTTATCAGGTGCCATACCGTGGCATCTGTCAAATATCACGGCCATGATAGGAATGGACGAAAGCAATTATGAGAATGAGCTATATTATGTCGGTAACTTGGGTACGTACCATACACTTGATTTTTCCTCTGCGGTCGTCAAGGGACGAGAACTTAATTATAGTTCTGGCATTTGGGATTTGGTGAGCATTGACCTATCTTTCAACCAATTAACTGGGGTAATCCCAGAAGAAATAGCTGCTCTTGATGCATTGATAAACTTGAATCTATCATGGAACCAATTGAGTGGGAAAATCCCAAATAAGCTTGGGGCCTTGAAGGCTTTGGAATCACTTGACCTCTCCAGGAACATGCTTTCTGGTGGGATCCCTTCGAGCCTATCAGATATAACTTATTTGAGCTACTTGGATCTGTCTGATAACAATCTAACAGGAACAATACCATCCGGACGTCAGCTTGACACCCTCTACACACAGCAACCTTCCATGTACAGTGGCAACAGTGGTCTTTGTGGGCTTCCTCTTCCAATCAGTTGCCCGGGAAAGAATGCAACAAGGAAAGATGATCAAAAAGGGAATGAACATTCCTTTGAGCCAATGCCCTTTTATTTTGGACTTGCTATGGGATTTATTCTGGGTCTTTGGGTGGTGTTTTGCGTCTTGTTGTTTAAGAGAGCATGGAGGATTGCTTATTTCAGCATGGTTGACCAGAAATATGATCAGATGTATGTGTTTGCCGTTCTTACATGGAAAAGCTGGGCCAGGAAGGGGACTACAAATTGAGTAACAAGATCTCTGAAGAAGCATGAAGCAACATATTAGGATGGATTTTTATTTCCCTGAAATTGTTGTAATGGATATTGATGATTCCTACTTGTCTATGCGTGTATGATAATACCTTTGAACGCATTTGCTACTCCTCAGATGTTGTAATGATTATTTGTTCCGTATTTCCTTGCTTCATAAAGTTTAGAGTTTCACAGTTGGCATAGCTTGTATGGGACTCCTGTATTTCCTTGCTTGAAGTTATTGTAAAGGATATTGATGAATCCTAATTTTCTATGTGTGTATATGATAATATTTTAGAACTTCTGTATTTGCTACTGTTCAGATGTTGTGTTGATTGTTTGCTCCGTAGATTCATCGTTTAGAGTTTCATGGTTGGCGTAGAAGTATTGGATGCTTCTCTGTTTTTTCTGTTATCTAGCAGAGTATTGGATGTGAATAAGAGAAACCTGATGTAATAACACCAGCCAGCCTGCTGCTATCATCTGCTTGTATTCAAGAAATCCGTGGCAACTTTAGATAGCAGCGACGCAATGGCCTACAGCCCCTGGAGCCCTTTTCCTCTCTGTAACCTGGACCAACAGGACAGCCAGTGAGCGATCTGAAAAGTAATAACACTGGAATCACGCAGGTAAACATGGTAAAACCTAGGCCATTGGAGATACACTTAATTACCGAAGAGGTCAAAATCCTGGAACGAAAATTCAAAGCTAAGCAAATCTACTCTAGAAACTGCTTCATACCATTAACAAAGAACGACTATTGCCATGAAAAAAAGGTTAAAGCCACTCGGGTATTCGGATGAATGTGTTTGTGTTGTGGCTTGTCATGAGCCATCTGTTTGTCGGTCAATGAAAAAATGCAATTGGTCTGAACAAGGTACCGACCGACCCTTGACACATTACTTAATTTGATGCTGAAGCAGAATAAAATTGGGGAAATACAACCACACATTTTTAAAACCATCCATTTTATATTTACGATCAATGAGAAAATGGTTCCCACACAAATGAACATAATTTTGTCTCCGCACACAACAAATTACAAATGGCATGGAAATAAGACCAACAGACTGCTACTTCAAGAACATACGGACAGACTGCTATGTACAAAGTCATAAGAGCATTCTGGCTGGCACATTGCTTGTTGAATCTTTTGTTTATTTGCCTACCAGTTCTCCTGCATGATCTTGGCCTGTTCAAATATGAACCTGCCTTCCTTGTACTTCTGGGACTCCTCGTAGGCCCTCTCGTACTTCCACCCGAGCACCTCCTGGCAATCACGACAATGGATGTTGGTGATCATGTGGAGCCCTGTCATGAGCTGCCTGTCCTCCTTGGCCCCTGTGGTGACGTTCATGGCGTGGTAGGAGAGAAACGCGTGGCCATTCCTCCCCTACAACAGTAGTCGAAAGAACAAAGGTACTAGTATTTATCCTCCAAACACAAGCAAAATTGAGATAGACAGATCATAGCGTATCGAGGTCTTGACATCTGAAGCTTGTATGGATAGATCACAGTATCTCTGGTTAGTTGAGTGAAACTCCACTATGTAAGTATAGAAACACAAGGGCTAAACTTCATTCTCAGATTGTATTGTTGGACCTCTCCATTGCAGTTGATGAATAATGAACCTATTTAAAGAGCCTAGTTGATACGACAACAGCAGCCAAAAGATGGACAGATCATAGCATATCGGGGTCTCAACATCTGAATGGAGCTCGTGTGACAGCCTCAGATGACTAACTGCTGGTACAGATAGATCACAGTATTTCTCTCTGGTTAACTGAAGGAAACTGCGCTATTTAAATGTAGAAATACAAATGCTAGCTAAAGTCAGCTTTTTTTTAGGGTTAGCTAAAGTCAGCTACATAGACGTTCGTTGTCAGATTGTTGGACCTCTCCACCGCAGTTGATGAATGGACCTATTTAAAACCGCTAGTGGATACTATTACTGATTTTAGCTCGGCATCCCCAACCAGCCCAACATATATTACTGGTCCATCTAAATTCCTATTTATTGATTAAGCTCTGCTTGTCCACTCTTGATCCCTAACACAGGCCCAAAGGCCCAAAGTCAGTAATGACCAAGGAAAAGCAAATAAATTATCCTTCCCTGGGTGAAATTTTTCACCTGGAAGGCCTTGGAGATAATATCGTCAAGGAGGCAGACGTGGTTCCGGCAATGGCGGCAGCTGTACACCCGCGGCCCAACCAGTTCCGCCATCTCTCTGCTGCAACCAATCCGATTCACCAATTGAATTAGGAACCTAACAACCACACAATGATAGTGGACAAGTACTAGTATGTGGTGCTCCAGAGTAGTAGAATACATAAACCGGAATGACCAAACGATGACTAATAACCATTGCAAATTACAAATGGCATGGAAATAACGCCGACAGACTGGTAGTTTAAAAAAGAAGAAAACGTACTTCTATGTACAAAGGCATGGATGATCCATAAGAACATTCTGGCTGGCACATGGTTGGTTGAATCTCTTTTCCATTTCTTACCTATTCTTCTGCACGATCTTGTCTTTTTCAAATATGAACTTGCCTTCCTTGTACTTTTGGGATTCCTCGTAGGCTCTCTCGTACTTCCATCCGAGCACCTCGCGGCAGCCACGGCAGTGGATGTCGGTGACCGTGTGAAGCCCCGTCATGAACTGCCTGTCCTCCTTGGCCCCCGTGGTGATGTTCATGGCGTGAGAGGAGAGAAATGCGCGGCCATTCCTCCCCTAGTACAACATCCAAAAGAGCAAGCAAAGGAGAGATAGTATTTGTATTGTATTTATCCTCCAAACAAAATCAAAATTGAGATAGACAGATCACAGTAGATAGATCACAGTAGTATCTCTGGTTAACTGAAACTTCGCTATGTAAGTATAGAAACACAAATGCTAGCTAAACTCAGCTACAGAAACGTTCTCATATTGTATTGTCGGACCTCTCCACTGCAGTTGATGAGCCAATTTAAAGTCCCTAGTTGACAAGTACCCACTACTAGTAATTTTAGGATGGCATCCCCAACCAGTATAGCATAACTGGTTCATCTAAGTTCCTATTTATTGATTATTAAGCTCTGTCCACTCTTGATCCCGACCGCAGGGGCCAAAATCGGTAAGGACACCTTGGTGAAGTTGTTCACGTGGAAGGCCTTGGAGATGACATCGTCGTGGAGGCAGACGTGGTTCCAGCAATGGCAGCAGCTGTACACCCGCGGCCCGGCCAATTCCGCCATCTCCAACCAATCTGGTTCACCAATCAAATTAGGAATCTAACAACTGGACAACCAAGGGAAACCAGGTCCAATCTCTCAGGGACTCAACTGCACTAGTGCTAGAAAATGAGAATTAGTAGTGGTGAGAATGTATACTACCAGCTGAGCAACCCTCTGATTAAAAGAGGCGAGGCATACCTTGAATACTCTCAGAGTCCCAGTGCTTCCTCCTTGAGTCCTTGGGCCTGCAGCTGGTTGCTGATACCCTTTGTGCCTCTTTGACTGAAGAAGAAGCATCCCTCGACGCGAAATTCCCCATGTCTGCGCCAGATTCGGTGGATGCGTGCTAGGATGTTAGCAGGCAGCAACCCAGCATGCAGCAAGCAAGCAAAAGAAAATCAAGCAGCAGCAGCCGGTCACGAGCAGCAGCTCGGGCGGTCAGGTCGATCGAGAACGCGGGAGGCGGCTAGGGGCGGCGGCGAGCTCCTAAGCCTAACCCTAGTCCCTAGGTCGCCGCCCCGGGGACAAGGATGAGCGTGAGAGGTGCAGGGGAGGAGCACTACTCACCGTGCGTCGCTGGGGAGGATCGGAGCACCGGCGCGCCGCCGTGGAGTGCGTCGCCGACGAGACGAGGGGGAGAAGCTGAGGCGAGAGAGATGGGGAACGATCCACCTCCTCTCCACTCCAGTGTCACTCAATTGGGGGTCGGCAGGGGCATTTGCGGGATTTCACGCGGGACCCACTTATAAGAAGTGGCAAAAAGAAAGAAGGGGTAAATTATTGTTTAAGGCATTTCCAATTGTTTAGAGCGTCTCCAGCCGTTGGGCCCCTAAGGGACTGAAATAGAGCCTCCTAGGGGCTAACCGGCGATATTTTTGCCGCGGGGCACTCGGGTTCCCAACCGCCGCCCCAAATTGACACCCAGACGCCGTTTCTCTAATGCAAATTGGGCTCAAATTCGAAGGAAATGACTCGATTTTGGACAAAATTGAGGCGGTTTCATTCATATTTATATAATAATATTTAAAGACATACATAAAAACTTAAAAAAAAAACTACGCCGCCGTCGCCGCCGCCCCGAGCCTAGTTCATGCCGAGGAGCTGGTAGAAGACGGTGTACTCGCTGCCGTCACCGTCGTCGTCGCCGCCGTCGTTCTACACACCGTCGTCCTTGCTGCAGCCCTGCCTTGGATCGGTGCTGCGGACAGGGTTGGTCAGCGCAATGCCTCCTCATCGCTGTCGGAGAGGACGATGACGCCGCCCTCGTCGCGGCTGCGGCGCCGCTCGGTGATCTCCTCTAGAGCGCGGCGCTGGCACTCCATCCCCTCCGGCACGTAGTCATCACGCGACCATTTCAGGCCGGTGTCGAGGTCGGCGGCCATCTCCACGTGTTCTTGCTTGATGACCACGGGCGTCACTGACTCCTTCTTCGGCTTGACTAGGCGAAGATGGCCGCGGGGAGGTGAAGGTTGGCGGCGGCCCTCACTTATGTAGAGGTTGCCTCCGCGGCTGCGCTGGCGCTCCGGCGTCTCCTGGGGCTCGGGCTTGACGTCGGCGAGCGGCGTCGTGCCGGAGGACGACCCCGCCATGCGCCTGGGCAGCCACGAGCTCCCGCTCCGGCACGATAACGACGGCGCCGGGAACTCCAACGGCGGCTCGTTGCCGCCCTCAATGTGCTCGAGGACGGTGTGGAGTGTGCACCCGGGGACACCCCATCATTGTCGACGACCGTCGGAGTTGTGGCGCCCCCTTGGCGCCGGAGCGCCGTTGGTGACGAGCTGGTCGGCGTGGCGACGCTGGTAATACGTCATCCAAAGAGGGTGGTTGTCAGGGGAATACTTCGGCAGCTGTCGCACTTCCTCCGGCAAGGACGCCCGGATCGTCGCGTTCTCGCCGCGGTGTTTCGCGTCGGATGGCAGCCGGGGCACGGGGACGCCTCCGGCGCTGAGCCTCCAAGTGTCCGGCACTCGCATGTCGGGCAGCGCCGGGTAGTTGGCCTCATGCAGGACACGTGCCTCCCACTTGTGCAGCGACCGGCGGCCGAAGCCGTTGGCCGCCGGTCCGTCACCAGGGAATCTTTCTGCCATGGCCTCGGGGTGGTGGGGGTTCTGGCGTTGGAGGAGAGAGAAAGGTTTCCGGCGATGGGGATGCGAGTGTACGGCGAGAGGTGGCGCACGGCTTTGGCTTTTATAGCCAGGAAATGGCGGGAGCGGTGCTGCCACGCGGCGGCTCGCCATCATTGTGCCGCCTGACCGGCGCGGGAGCTGAGGCGATGAAGACAGTGAAGGTTCTCGACCACGCCCAGTCACTGACTCGGCGGGTCCACGCGGGAGGAATTTGGCTCAGTTTGTTTTCGCGCCAAATTTCTTTCCCCGGCGCCCTCGGGCGCCTTCCAGCGCGCTGGGTTCGTCCTGAGTCCGCCGGCTCCAATTTCGTCCCTAACCGGCGAAATTTGGACTCCTGAGAACGCGACTAGCTATTTTTTGGAGCCAGCGATAAAAAAGGGGCCTGGTGGGGGGGGGCGGGGCTGGAGATGCTCTTAGACAAACATTTGTCAGTAATACTTGTCCATGTAATCGGTCTGTAATACTTGTCTGTTTACCTGTGTGTAGAAAGTGAAACTGCCGTCCGTGTTGTTTGTTCGCCTCCGCGCAAATTCTTCTTCGCCCCTCGAGATGTGATGCGCCGCTGGGGGATTCATCAGTACATGAGAGGGGCCGCCATGGATCAGAAGAAGAAGACGTAGACGGTTGGAGTACGATTTGTCTTACAGGGCCACAAATACCGACGCCCATCCATACAATGGTAAAAGAGTCTTCGATAGCGACCGAGTTTCACGCGAAATGCCCGTCTGCATATTTAGCGACGACCACCTTGTAAGATTGGTTGGAAGCGTTGAACCCTTTGTCTCGGGCCGCATGTTTATATATAGTGGCAATGCCTTGGAGTACAAGATAGAGAGAGAGATCAAGAGATCGATCTCAAGTCTGTTCGGTTACAGGAGATGAACAAGGAGAAGAAAACGAGATAGAGATAGATACAGTTTAAACAAAACTATCTATCATATACATATTCTAACACTCCCCCTCAATCTAAACCTCATGAACTTCGACCAAGGTTGAGATTGTATTTGAACTCGTCTAACCTCCTCATAGTGAGAGGTTTTGTGAATCCATCCGCGAGTTGATCTCCAGTAGGAATGAACTGAATTTCGAGAAGCTTTCTAGCTACTTTTTCTCTGACAAAGTGGAAATCAACTTCAATATGCTTTGTGCGTGCATGAAAAACAGGATTAGCTGACAGATATGTTGCACCAATATTATCACACCATAATCTGGCTGCTTTTGGAGTCTTAATTCCAAGTTCATAAAGCAGTGTTTGTATCCACATTACTTCAGCTGTGGCATTTGCCAAAGCTTTGTATTCAGCCTCAGTACTTGATCTAGAGACTGTAGCCTGCTTTCTTGCACTCCATGACACAAGATTGGATCCCAGAAATACAGCAAATCCACCAGTTGACCTTCTATCATCAATACATCCTGCCCAGTCTGCATCAGAGTAGGCAGTAACAAGCATAGAAGGAGATTTGATAATTTGAAGTCCAAGTCCCTCTGAAAACTTAAGGTACCTCAAAATTCTCTTAACTGCAGTCCAATGAGTAGTACTAGGAGCATGTAAGTACTGGCATACCTTGTTGACAGCATAAGAAATGTCAGGGCATGTAAGTGTCAGATATTGCAATGCACCCACAACACTCCTGTAATTTGTTGCATCCTCTGACCCAAGTGGCTCTCCACTTTCAACAGAAAGTTTTTCAGAAGTTGAGATAGGTGTACTCACCGGTTTACATTTTTCCAAGCCTACTCTCCTGAGTATATCAGCAGTGTATTTCTCCTGTGTCAGAAGTATACCATCTCTTATCTGCTTGACCTCAATACCAAGAAAATAATGAAGATCTCCCAAGTCCTTGAGGGCAAATTCCAACTTAAGATCTTTAAGCAAACAAGTGGTGGCACTTGAACTCGAGCTAGCAACAATAATATCATCAACATAAACTAGCACAAAAATAGTGACATTTCCTTTATGGTAAAAGAACAAGGATGTATCTGCCTTGGATGGTACAAACCCAAGTTGTTGTAGTTGCATGCTCAATCGTGAATACCAAGCTCTTGGCGCCTGTTTTAAGCCATACAGAGCTTTATCCAATTTACAAACATAGTGTGGTGTACCTTTGTTTTCATAACCTGGTAGCTGCCGCATGAACACCTCTTCCTCAAGAACACCATGAAGAAACGTGTTCTGAACATCTAGCTGTCTTAAGCTCCAACCTCTGAAAACAGCAATAGACAAGACAAGTCGAATGGTGGCTGATTTAACGACTGGACTAAAAGTATCCTCATAGTCAATCCCAAACCTTTGCTTAAAACCTTTAGCAACTAACCTAGCCTTGTACCTGTCTATACTTCCATCTGACTTCCTTTTTATCTTATACACCTATTTACAATCAATAACATTCATTCCACTTTTTGAAGGTACTAGATGCCATGTTTTATTTTTCATAAGTGCGTCATACTCACTATCCATAGCCTCTTTCCAATCTTTGTGAGCAAGGGCATCAACAAGATTAACTGGTTCACCAGTAGTAGTGAGGAAAGCACATTTTTTATCATACCTAATGGTGCCATCTTTGTATTCCTTTTCTTTAGTAATACCTGATTGTGACCGTGTATGGCGTCGAGGAATAACTTGTGCAGCAGAAGAGGCCGCCACAGAAGATCCAAGGTCCTGTACACGCCCAGCAGTCGCAGCAGCCACGGGATCGCGCGCCGGATCTTCTGTGAGCAGGATTGGCCTCGGGATTGCGCCATCAATAGCAGAAGGCCGCGTGTCGTCTAAATATTCCGCACGGGGTGTCATGCGCACCGAGGCCCGTGGGCTGGACCCAGCCGCGGTCGCCCGGTCGGGCGGCTGGTCGGCCACCCTCGCGGACCGTGGAGTCGTGGCAAAAGCGGGGATTCGCTCCCGGTTCCGCCCGCGCTGGTGGGCTCCACCCGGTCGCTTTCGGCCACCGAGGCCCGCGCCGTCTCTGCATGCAGGCGGACAAGATCCTCCTCGGATCGTGCGCCGGTGCTGGCGCCAGGATCCGCCTGGGATCGCGCGCCAGATCGTCTGCTGCCGCCAGAATCCTCCTCGTGATCCGCAGCACCTGTTTTGGCTGTTTCTGGACACATAAAATGATGAGCTGCATCTGTACAAATACCATTAGAACTGCAATTTTCTACGGATTTTTGCACATGGTCAGCTTCAGGTAATTCACCC